CCCCAAAACCCCAAAACCCCAAAACCCCAAAACCCCTTTTTGGAAAGAGAGAATTGGTATATTATAATATGAAATGTTAATTAATTTTTATGTGAAGGTAACAAAGAAGTCGCATATGGTTTAAGCTTTCTCTTCTTTCCTTTCACTCGTCTTCTCAATTTCTGGCTCTTTAATTTTTTGATTAATTTATTTGCAATAGTTTTCTTCTTTTCAATAGGATTGCTAGGATCATCTTTGCTATTTGAATTTTCAAGTTTGTCTAAGTCAATCTTTCTTTTATCACCATTTTGTCACAAAGTTGCTCATTTATTTAATACAGGTGTTGCTTCTTCAAGGACAAGATTTTCATGATCATGACTCTTATTGCTATTATCATCTTCATTTGGAGTCATTCTTAACCTTAAAGAAGGTAATTCAGGAAATTTTAAGTCAGCATTTTGGGAAAATGAATTTTTGAATTCATCTTTTTCTTCCTCATTATTTCCGTTAACTTCAGAATTATTAAAGTCAAAGTTATTCAGTGAATCTCTCGATTCCTCTTTTATACTTTTATTAAGCCAGGTAACTTTATCTACCTTCTTTGCCAATGGAGTGGGTTCAGACTCTTGAAACAAAGAGTTTTTCTGAAGATGTGTAGCAGCTCGTGAATTAGCATCAAAACAAGGATTTACCAGAGCATTCTGCTCGTCTATAAGTTATAGAAATTCATATACCAATGCTACCATACATGCCAAAGATATTCTCATCTTCTTCACGAATGCTAATATTAGTATTCTCCTTTAGATCCTCAATTTTTGATTCTTGCATAAGTACGTTGTCTCTTTGGGTATCCTTCAATTCTTCTATAAGCTCTATAAATGAATGTTACGAAATGTCTTAAAAAAGTGTACCTCTATGGCTTTCTATATTCCTTGTATTAATATTTAACTTTTCCTATAATTTACGCTTATTGGATACCATTTTGCTATCAAATTCCGGTGTATTCGGCCTATTTTTAATTCCTTTGAATTTATCAGCTTTCTTAAAAGTTTCAACACTCTTGCTAAAGTTACTTTATCATAGCCAAATTGCTAGCCTCGATTTGTTTGATGTTGATACTGGAGTCAAAGTAAGCACTTGGATGTTCCTTCTTCTCCAAAATTTTCAACTGAGAGGAGTCTTTCTTGTGGCTCTGACTCTTTTCTCCTGACTTTATCAAAATTTTATCAGTTGGCTCTTCATCCTGCTCGTTCATTTTTATGTTGTCTTGAGAATATGAATTATCTGATCGCGCTTCTTCAGAAGATCCTGTATTTATCATAGGCAAGTTTATTCCATTACTAACTTCCTTTTCTTCTTCGATTGCATTATCAAAATTAGCTTCATCCACTCTAGGGGTTCTAACAATTCTACTTAAAAGGACAACAGGTCTGTTTCTGTCATGAAAATCTTCCATCAGAGATTTGCCTTCTTCTCTATTATCAGGGTCGCTATTAAGAGATTGTCTACCAAGATCAATTCTTGGAGGCTCGCTATAGCTTTCAGATTCATTATGAGGCCTGTTATGATCACCTCTTTCTAAAGCATTCGGGTTTGGAATATTTCTAAAGAAATCACTCAGTTCTTCAATCTCATGAATATATGCTTCTTTTTCTTCTGGGTCAAGATATTCTTTTGGAAAATAGTCGATTCCGTTTAAAGTCACAAGACCATTCTTTGATCTTTGAGATATTTCATTGAAACATGGGCATCACAGATTTCAGAAAGTTAAAGATTTAGGAATTCTCAAGTCTCATATAGTTCTTCCGATTTGAAATAATGCTGGTTGATTTGTTAGCTTGATGGGTCTTCTAACTTGAACCAAAGTTCCAAACTTTGATTTGCAGTCTTCAATGTAAAAGTTATTATTCTCAGCTCTATTTAATTAGTGCATGCAAGCGTGAGACAGAAATATCACCAATTCTAACTTCGCTATCATGCCCTCTTCCAATTCTAAAGAACGGGCGGTCTTTCATTCCGAGAACATGGAAAGATTTTGAGAAATTAGAGGTGATTCCTTCAAGGATAATAAATGGTTCTTCTGGACGTTCAATATCGATTAGGTCAATGAGTTTGCCCTTTATATTCATTATTCCTTTAAACTCAGTTTTGCAGAGTTCACAATCAAATGTTCTCCAGTTATAACTTACATTATCATAACTTCTTTTCTGAACAACACATTTCGCTGAAAGCCATGTTTTTAATCACTCAAAGTGAATATATTTCATTGTTCCACTACATTTTCAAGGAGAGATTGCTGGGTTATCTTCCTCTTCTTCCTCAGTTAACTCAAGAAGACATATCCTACAGATTAGCTGTTTCTCTGTCTTTCTGGAACTTGATATGCTCTTGTCATTTTTATGGAAGCTGAGAGCCTCAACTTGCTCCATACCTAAGAGTTAGATTCTAAGAGTACCTTCCTCTTCAAATAAGATATTAGGATTAGTTCCTATTAATTTACTATTTTTAAAGTTCTTTGTGAGTCCTCCAGCTTGTTTTAGGTAATTATTTACCTTTACCTCATGATTATTTTTCATCTTTATTCTCTAGAGTTGAGTATAGTTTCTTATATTCACTGGGTTTAATTTCAGGTATTTCATCTCCTTTAGATTGGGATTTACCTCTGTTGAGTTCGATGACTCTAAATCTGACTCTTCCAAGTCTGATTATATCTCCTTTTCTCAGTTTGTAGCCTAACCCATCTAAAGTCTCATTATTTCTGTAGTATTTGACAATATGCCATAATTTGTCAGAAGGGTCGTCATCTGGTGTTTCATCTTCAACTGTATTATTATTATAAAGCCAATATGAGTTATTCTTTCAAAGTAAATGCATGATTGGAGTATTTTGATACTCATTTTTATGTAATTCACTGTTGTCACCCCAGTCAGCATATCAATTGATCTCATTAAATTTGCTCCTGAACACAGTACTGGTGCCGATGATGTGGATTATAACTTTTTCAGAGTATTCTGGTTCTCATAATCAAAAAGTCCATGGGACTCTCTGTTCCAAGTTGCTAATTTTAACTCAATAATGTTCTTGTACCCATAATCTTTGGCATGCTGAAGAGCTGCTTTAGTCAATTGGGAGGAGGAATTAAATTTGCTATTATAATCTTCCTCCAAAGGAGAGGTTGGATTGTTTCCCATCTAAGTATGAAAAATATTCTATAAATTACTTGACAAATGGGGTTTTGGGGTTTTGGGGTTTTGGGGTTTTGGGG